GAGAGGGAGAGGGAGAGGGAGAGGGAGAGGGAGAGGGAGAGGGAGAGAAGGTAGGCTTCCAGAGGGAGCATATTAGCTTTGGTTCCCAGGAGGTCCCTATAGGGAGCCTGCTCTTGCTACAGAGGCTGCCCAGACAGCAGTTAAGCCTCAGGTACATTATGGAACACTCTACAAAGCTCACACCTACCATGGCCCTCCTCTGGGCTTCCATAACCATCACTGTCAGGCTCTCCTCTTGATAAGGTTATGCTGGGGCATGATTTTCAGGAGACAACAGTAAGAATGGAAGAAATCCCAAACAGTTGCTGGACTACAAGTCTGGGATTCAGAGGAACTAAAGTGGGAATTGACAGCAGTGAGACGCTTGGTAAGCAGAGCAAAGGAGCCGAGTCAGTGTGAACTCTACGGCCAGACAAGGAAGATGCAACAATGTCACCTCAGTCTGTGTATTCCACAACTGAGAGTCAGGGTGAGCTCTACAGCCACACAAGGGGGACACAACAATGTCACCTCATAGTCTGCGTATTCCACAACAGGAAGCAGTGTATGCAAAATGGGGCAGATAAAGACAGAAGTCAGAGCTTTGTCAATAAACCTAGAAGGAAATCATGGAGACACAGAAACAGCTTGGTAGCACAGGGCTTACCTAGCACACACAAGGCCTTGACACAATCCAGAGAGAAAGCGAGAAGAAACAGCCAACCCCAGATGAAACTAGATGAACTAGAGGGCTTAACATTACTTTAAAATCTTTAACTTTATCCTCGCCCCCATCCCAACTCTCTGTGTGTGTGTGTGCATGTATACGTGCTGGTGTGCTCACATATGCAGAGACAACTTGCAGAAATTGCTTGTCTTTATCCCATATGGGTCCTGGGGGTCAAATTCAGGTTGTCAGACTTGGCATTAAGCACCTTTAACTAACAAACCATCTTGCTGCCTCCTTCCGCTCCCCTTCCCACTGGTGGTCGGAATCAAAGGGAAGCTTGATGATGGGCGCTCAGTAATGCTTTACTGCTTAGCTGCCGGCCCAGTGTGCACTTCACTCTTTAAATATAGACATGTGCTACTTTAGTAAGACTGCAAAGTAAGCCAGGTGCAATGGCGCATGCCACTAATCTCAGATTCAAGAAGCAGAGGCAAGCTAATGTATGTATATACACACATATAGTATGTCTATGTAGTGTATGTATATATACACACACAACAATATGTACAAATTAAGCTTTTAAAGAGGAGAACGATGAATTAAACACTCCTAGGAAAAGTGAAAGATGTAATTATGCAGTCTCTAATGAATAAGTCTAAGGAATGATGTCAGTGGCTAACACTATTAGGGAATAGCAAGGGGTATGATTCATTACTGACCATGAGTTGATTACTATTACGACCATATTTGAAATTTTTCCATAGTAAAGAACAAGAAGCCAACAAACATTTAGCAGAGACTCTAAGGAGACGGCAAGGCCCCCAGCCCTGTCCCTGGTGGGCACACACTTACACTCCCACTGTCAGGGGCTCGGCACTCACTTGCATCTTTGCTGTCAACTTCTGAATCTCCAGGCCCAGCTGCTGCTCCACCTCCAGAGTGCTGGCTGCCTCGGAGGCCAGGCTGGACAGCGCTTCCACTGCACGCAGAAGAGGCTGTAGGTGGAAGCGGAGAGTGAGGACTTTGTCCAGGCCAGGCTGCTCCCCACCCTGCTCCCGGGCCACTCACAGGCAAGTCCTTCTGGATCAGGAGTACGAAGGGACCGGGGGCCCATGCTCCCAGGTGCTGCTGAGCTCTGCCCAGGAACCAGAGCAAGGTGGTCTGCAGGGTACAGAGCCCCAGAGCGACAGGTGTAGGACCTGGGAGGGGAAGAACAGAGCGCCCTAGGGTTCATGGGCCACTTTCAGGAGAAGGCTAGCTTCAGAACAGAAGGCAGGAAGTCGATATCAACTGCTCAACCCCCAGCCCCCCCTCCCATTCCACACCTCTTGTCTCACCTGCAGGTGGACACAGGCTGAGTTCTGACTTAGGCTGGCGAAGGCTATCCAAGAGCGGAGGAAAAAGCCGCTCCAACAGCTCAGCCGTAGGAGACGGTGAAGCGGGGCTGCTCTGATTGCCCAGGGCTGATCCCAAGGCTTGGCAGAACCCTGGGATGACAAATACAGTCTGAGGGGGTGGGCAACCTGATCCTTGGATCACCCCAATGTCCCTTTCTCCTTACCTTGGTCCCAACTGCAGATAAGAGACTGATGAAGTAGGCTGTGACACAGAGACAACAGCTCCTTCTCACACTCCTGAGGCAGGGATGCTAATGGAGAAACGAAGGGAGCCTGAAAACAAAACCTCCCTGGTTACA